TAATTATTTTCCTGAGTAACTTTGAGAAAGGCTTCACTTGTCCAGCAGCCTTGAGAATATCCACTGTGATACCGTCTGGACCCAGGGCTACATGAGGCTTGATCTTTTCCAATTGGGCTTGGAATTCGGTTGAAGTGACGTGTGGGAAATCTTTCTTTCGAAACGTGCAGTTGGATGATAATGGAGTTGAGGTGGTTTGGGAGTGTGACCGGAAGAATTTGTTGAGGAGGGCTTGGGAGCCTTCGGCAGTGCTTTTTTCCGGCATGATAGATGGAGTGGTGTGATTCTTGGGGTTAGATCTTCGGAGATAGTCCCATAAAGATCTGCCTTTGAGACCCTTATATAAGGTGTCGCAAAGGTATTTGTTCTTGGCCTTACGGCAGACGCCATTATAATGTTTCATTTTCTTTTTGGCATCAGGGTCGTTAGGTTTAGGGCATAAGGCTCGAATCTCTTTTGTTATCCAGACTTTTTTGCTCTTTGGTTTCTTTGAGGGGTTCAAAATATGATCGGGTGTTGAAGTAATGGCGGAGTTGAGTAATAGTTGAGTCAAATTCTGAACGGCGGTATCTAGATTCTGAGTGCTGTCTAAATTAAAGTAATCTTTCAAGATTGCTTTGGATAGACTCAGTTCAAGTGTATCTTGGAATAATGTTCGGTCAATCTTGAGTCTAATCTTGTTCTGTGGCTGAAGATCAAAGGTTATATTGGGGGATGTCTGGGGAATGGAAACCTGAACCTGGAGAAAGTAATGGTCAGACGTCCCGATTACCGACTTTAGGTGAGTAGAGTGAACTAGCTGGGTTGCTAGAACTCGGTCAATGTTGGTGTTATAGATGGTAGTATGGCCTTTGATTATTGTTTCAGACATGAAGTTCTGTTGGATAAACATCTTAGTTTGTCGGTTGTCAGCAAGTGGTTCGTGGATATTGAAGTCCCCGGCTATGATATGATGTTCGTGGACCTTGAAGCTATGGAAATCGATTCCACGTTGGGCATGATTATAAATTGAGCTGACATGCCATTCGTCATGTTTGCTGGTAACTTTAATGGTAGTAGAGAACTTATCCTGGTGGATCACTTGGACAATGTGGCTTTGGAGAATATCTTTATGTACTAGTATGGCTGTATAAGAATAGTTATCCAGGGTCACTAGAGCTGGAAGTTCCCGTTTTCTATTGTTTTTTGTGGTTTTTGAGTTTTTGCCTGAGGCATTTTTTTCCTGGGATTTCTGACTTTTCTGATTTTTTTGGGGATTTTCTGGTTCTTTTGAGGGTTTTTTTTGGGGATTTTCTGGGGAAGTATCTTCTGGCTTTAGTGAAGCAATGGAATAGCCTTGAGGAATTGATAATGTTCGTTTAATTGGAAGCTCTTGTAGGCATAAAAAGTTCATTTTCTGGAGAGCACCGAGTTCCAGAAGATGATCGAGAGCGTCATACTTTTTGTTGAGGTTGTATGACGCTATGGTATAATTCGTTGCAGGTATGTCTATGGAAATAGAAGAATCAGCCTCCCTGATCATTGATCAGGCACTCCTGACGACTCTGCAGGAGTGGAGGCTTCTGTATTGCCAGGGTGTCCTGGCTTGGGTGGTGCTGCTTTGTAATTCGATGTGGTACTTCTAGAGGCTTTTTGTGAAGAGCTTTTGTTAGCAACAATTTGGTACTTGTTGACTTGACAAAAATTCATCTTCAAACCTCCGTTGTTTTGAAGTGTTTCCCAGTCTTCCTTATTGACTGTTACCATTATGGAGCATTGACCTCCTTGTCTTTCTTTAACCTTATGCCAATTTCTAATAGATGGAGGGAATTGGCATTTGATATTATTCTCTTGTTCTATCATCTGTTGTATTTCCTGTCTTGAGAAAGTGGTCAAGAGTCTGTTGTGGCTTACAGCCCAAAGATTGACCTGATGGTATAGGATTCTAATAAAAGGATCCGAATTTACCACTTTGTATGAAGAGGAAAATTCACTGTTCTTCAAAAAATCTTTCGAACTTGATTGGAATCTAATTTTCGATGAAATTGTGGTGCCAAGGTTTATGGCATCAGGACACAAGCTCTTGATATTGTTGAGATGTTGTGCCATATTTGAGTTGGAGAAAGCCTCTCCGTTCTTTTGGACCACCACATATTGTGTTGGCGAGGGTCTTGTGGTACCTTTGAGGGGTTTTGGAGCTATCTTCTTATTAAGCTTCGGTAAAGTGAATGGCTTCTTTGCCTCAGCTGAGGCTATAGCCCCCAAAAGTTTGGTTTCCAATTTCTTTAGTTCCTTTGGAGTAACTAAATTCTGATCCACTATAGAGTTGACTTTGGTGTCTGTGGTACTGGATTTATCTCTCAATCCCTTAATTTCTTTCTTGATTACGTTGATGTTGAAGAAATTCTTATCAACTGTATCTTTCAAACTTTGAAAAGATTTTTTTGTGGTCTTGTCTGATATCATTTCATTGCCAATATTTATCAACTGATCTATATTTTTATCATGGGACTTAATTTTCTTGGAATGACTCTTCACTGTCGTTTCCAAGCTGTTGGATTCTTTTTTAAGCCTAGATATATATGAAGTGATTAATTTGATGTCTTGGTTTGTGACCTTTGTTTCAGATGTAGTTTCATTTTCATTCGCTTTGATTGCATCCAAGTTGTTTGAAACGTTGACTGAAAGGTCCTTTAGCCTTAAACCCAAAGTGTCTGATTCCTTTTTGATATCAGTAATCTGTGATTTGATTGATTTAATATCTTGGGTGGTGTCATTCATAGTTGATGAATTTTTATGTTCATTCACTTTCATTGTCACCATGGATTCTTTAACTTCATCAGATAGTTTCTCGATTCTAATTGCGTGGTTCAAAGTATCTTGGTGTCTAAAGTCATTTTCAGTCTTAATGTTTTTTATGATCAAGCCATTTTTTTCAAGATTTGTTGAAAATTCGTTGATCTTGGATTGGAATTCTGAGTTGATCATCTCCACTTGGTTGGTTTTCTCAGCCAATTTTGTAGCTTGTAGTTCAAGAGAGGTCATTTTAGCAGACATTTCAGAGTTTGCGGAAACTAGTGTGGCATGTTTGTTATCCATATCCTTGGTGTTATTCATCATGGATTCGTTCAATTCATTGACTTTAGTCATCACCTCTTCATTTCTTGTTTCAAGATCATCCTTCATTAACTTCATTTTATCATTTTGGTCCTTTACATACTTCTCCGTAGATTTGGATATCCTGCTGTCAAACTTTGGTTCCAAGTTTTCGAAAACCATCGGGGTCAATTTCGAGACCATGAAGGCAAGGTCGAGTTCATTTTTCATCTCTTGATCTTCTGTCTCACTAAAATCTGCATGATCAAGGTTTGTCGGACGCATGTCTTTTGATGATAAATCTGATTGTACTTTGGTAACAGACTCTTTCATTTTCCCTAAGTCTGTTTCAATATTAACAATCTTGTTATCTAATTCCTGAATAGCAATATCTGGAGTGGTGAATCCACCATCGCTTAAAGGAATAGAAATACTCGAGTCAATGGTCTGTTTAATTTCATTGCATTCGGCTGCGCATTTAGCGTCAACGTTGGCGATCTTCTCATGTATTGTCTGCATTATGCTTGCATTATCCGCAGCTGTTTTGTTAGAGTTCATCATGTCAGTCTCTAACATTTCGATTTTCAGCTTGGTAGAAGCATGTTGCAAATTTATGGCTTGGAAGGCATTAGCACAGTCTTTTCTCAATTTAAGTATTTCTGTAGTATTCTGTTGGTTTATGTCGCTGTCACATGGGCCGCTTGAAAAATTTTCAATTGGAGAAGAGGAAATGACAGGGGTTAAGAACGAGTCTAATCTGGCGCTAAGTGACACCACTAAGGTCTCTAATTGGGAAAATTTGGCTTGCAATTCGCTAAAGTCACTGTCTTTTTCCTCCTTCTTCTTGAAACGATCATCTAAAACGATTGCAAACTTATCAAATTGGCTAAAAGTCTTATCTGGCTTTCTGAGATGAGGGAAAACATGTTCTTCCAAATACTTGAACGCTCCGCTATTTTGGGTTGCCTTATGTGGTGCAGAAGGTAGATCCCACTCAAGAGAGCTTCGGAAGTCTTCGATATGTCTTTCTTTATCGTTAACGTCGTCACTCATGGCTTGTCCAAAATCGCGCAGGTCTATTGATTCCAGAATCTAGTGTGCCCTTCCACACTGATTGTAACAAAGGACTAAACAGCCCTTATGGCCAAGTTGGTAAGGCGCTACACTAGTAATGTAGCGATCCTCAGTTCGAATCTGAGTGAGGGCACTTTTGATAATGTTTTTTTGGCCTTTAGCCATATAAAATTGCCCTTTACTTGTTTTTAGGGGTTTTGCCTTTGTTCTAAAAGTTTTGGAAAAACAGTGAGAGAAGTTTCAGTATTTGAAACAGCATTATATTTTGTTTTGGACAATAAATAATTTGGGCCGCACTCACGGTATTCCGAATAAGCCAACTAGTGGGAGCTTACCGTGCCTATATTTTCCATTATTCTAACCAATTCTATTGTCTTTCGTTTTATTATGAATGTTTCGCATGTTGACAGTGTTACAATCTGGAGATGTACTATCGAGCATTTTGTGCCTATGCTCACCCTACCACACCATCTCTGAGGTCCAAGTCCGAGTCAGAAGGCTGGTGTGTGGAATCATGCGTGCCGACACGACTATCTGGTAATCTGGGGCTTGATGCAGCCCTATATCATCTACACCAGCAAAGTGATTCCTTTATGAACCATCCGCATGCTTTAACCTCCTGAAAAAATTGAAAGCTGAATTTCCTTTTGAAGAAACTGTAATCAGCCACTGTACAATAGAGCCACCACCTACTTCCATTCAGGTTCTTTATTTGCCAGGAACATAAACTAAAATTAAATCATATATAGATTAGAAAGATACCTTACACTGATTGAATTGTCTTATTATTAATAATAATAATGAAAAGACCCAATTCATTTTCTCCTCAAAAAAAAAACAAAAAAAACAAACTAACGCAATTGATCAGTCAGATAAAATTTATCTGGAACAAGAAGAATATATCTTTCCATGGCAGCTCTGAATCTAGATTTATATTGTTTTGGTGTCACAACCGTTGGCCTTTTTCCACCACCACCCACCAAACCTTTCTCTTTGACCCAGCTTTCCAATTTTTTATCCCAGGTGAAGGTTCTAATATAGTCAATGATCCCCGCGACAATCTCATTTTTCTCCGTGTCGATCCCTATAACCAAGGAATAATCCATGACATTCATCTTGCTCAAGAATAGGGTATCGTTCCAAAGAGACGCTCTCAATAGTTTCTTACTATGAATTCTAACAAATAGCGGTGACTCATAGATGTAGTCAACCATATTTTCGTCCAATAGAACCTCATTCTCTTTGCCGGTTTTTTCAACATGTCTATTTCTCATGGAACCTTTCAAGTCAAAGATTCTCAAATTCTTTCTATTGTAGAAGAGGTTTTCCATAATGATAACGTTCATTTTTATGTTTTTCCCGCTGCTCAGATTCTTGATCACCAATTGATAGAAGCCAAAAATCTTGGATATCACACTTGGCAAATCATGAAATAATGATTGTGATACAAATTCAAAATAGCTCGGGGCCATTTTCACAAAAGATTCGAATTCTGGTTCAGAAAGTTGCTTAATAATAAGTCTATCATCCAAAGTTTTTAAAAATGCTGACCCGCTCTTACCACCACTGGAGTCCCATTTGATACACCGGGATAAGCTCTGGATGAAATTAGATCCACACGCTTCTCTTAATGCCTCGAATTGACCCACGAAAAATACCTTACAGGAAAGAATTGCCGAATCATCCATGATCTGAAACTTCAAATGAATGGCCCTCTTTTTCAACATCTCCGCCTCCAACAATTTCTCTTGGATCTTGCTTCCCGGTTGGATTTCGATATTTTCTTGCATCCCTGGCAAACTCAAAGAATCAATGACTTCCTTTCTCAATCTTTTTACAGTTTGTAAATAGTTCTTGGAGGATAATGAGAAAGCAATGAGAGAACTTGGCTCATCTTCTCTTATAATAACGTCTGAATCAACAAAAACATGTTCAGTTTCCTTCAATGGATAATCTAAAGGTTTCCAAAGCACAGATCTATCCGCCCAAAACTTCTTTATGGCACTCAAAAGTGAATTCTTTTCTTGCTGGGGAATCTCGTTCTTGTCTTCAGTTCTTTTTTCTTTTAAACTCAAAGCCTTATTATCATTAATATCGGCATGCTCAATTTTATCTTCTCCTATTTGTTCATTATCATTAAAAATTTCAGGTGCTTCTGCCTCATTATTTTTGGTACTCTCCAATTCTTTAGAATCTCCATGATTATCAAAAATAACAGGGTTCCCATTAATGACATCCACAGATGCTTCTTCGTTGTCGCCGGCATCATTGTATTCTGATTCGTCCCGTTTTAGTTTCGAAGATTCTATATGATCCTTATTTTTCACATGGTTTTTATTGGACTTGTCTTCATTTTCGTCTTGCACAGCATCTTCAAAATCTTGATAAACCTCAACGATTGGTTTTGAACTCATCAAAGGAATGGCATGATATCGCTTGGCAATCTTCTTTCTTTCATTTTCCCTTTCCAATACGAATTCCTTATTCAACCGCACATGCATTTGGTCATAATAATCTTTTAGTTTTGCCACACGAGTATTTGCCAATTTTTTGGAACTGGCTGTGCTGGTTGCAAAATCATCAGAGAAATTAGATCTATTGATTAACTCAGTTTTCAATAAATTGCCAGTACTTAATAAAGGAGTTTTACCTGATAGAAGATGGGAGTCATTAAAGTTCTCAGATTTGATATCAGAATTATTATTCAATCTCGCTTCCATCCTAGAGACTTTTTCCAAGACATTGGAATGCTTGAAACTGGAGCGGGAAGTTGATGATTTTAACTGCTGTTCATCTTCCATAATTAGTGAAGTATCTCTATCAACAGAATTGGAGTTATCAGTACTTGGCATGGTTCCTAGTTGGATATCCCTTGATGTTTCCCGTTCATCAATATTTTCAGGTTGTTTCATATCATAATCATTATCGTTTTCCCATTTCTTTGAACCATTGACAGCAGGATCAGCTTCCAGTCTTTCTAAATCAGTTTTTGACTTTTCATCATAATATTCTGATTCCGGATACCCTAATCCTTTTAACTTTTCCTTATTTTTTCCCCGTTCAGTATCCAAGTCCTCTGGAGATTTCTTTTCCTTGAAGAAATTTTTCAATTGAAAAGCCGTGATCCTAGTAATATCATTTTCACTCGGCAAAAACTCTTCTTCAAATTGACTAAACTCTAAATCCCACGAGACACTCATACTTTGTAATCCTTTCAAGATAATATTCAAAGGCAAATATTCCAATGGTGAGGATTCGGTATATATCTTTTTTACTTGGTTCATTATCTCAGCATGGTTCTCCTTTGCTAATCCAATTAACTGCTTAACTTTTTCATTCGCGGCATCGGCATTTTCTTGACTTGAATTATCGATCTTTACCCCTTCTAATCTGTCTAAGACCCCTTCAAAGAAATTGTTGGCTCGGTCAACAATCAGCTGGTACACCTCCAATTTGAGAGTAACATCAACTTCTGGTCGCCAGTATACCTTATCTCCAGGAACGATCACTTCAAGAAGATCAATTTTCTGGTAGCTGAATTTCACTGTCAAGTCATTAAGGCCAAAGTACTTGATTCGGTCTTTCAAATCATGCTGGCATTCTATAAAAGAAACCGTGAGGGGCACACTTAAGAATCCCAATTCTAAAAATTTTCCAAAAGAGAATTTCCACGCGATTTCATTCATGGGGATAACTGGAGTAGAATGGTTACATTTTTGGCAAGTACTCCACATTAAAATGACATGCTGTAAACCAGGGATCTTGCATTCCATATTTTCGATAGACACAGTGATCGCACCATCACCATGAACATAATTCTTGTAATGATCTAATAATTTCGATCCACAGCCTTCTTGACAAAAGTGGTTAGAGGTTTGCACCAAGTTCTCGATATAGTGACCCAAAGGAGCGTCGGTAAAATCCATATAGTACTCAATTTGGATGATTTTAGGAAAAATGCAAGGGCTCTGATTTTTTGCGTTGGTGGTTGAATAAAGAAAACTAATGCTTTGATGGAAAGACACTTCAAGTAGTGAAGAGATTTGCTCAGAAAACGATTCCCATTGTCTAGAATATAGCTTGCAAGTTGATTTCAATAATTTGGATTTTTTGTAAATGATCACTTGCGCAAGATTAATGATACTACCTTGGTCAAACAAATCATACTCTTCTAGTTTAATACCGAAAATTCTCACGATTTCTTTGGCGGAGTCCGCATCAATGGCATTCATGTCATAATTCTCTAGGAAATTATTCAAATGCTTTTCACAGTCCCTGGCCTTTGTCAAGAGATGAGGTAATGGCACCTTGATGGTAGGAGATATCGAAAACAACCGCTGATCAAATCTCTCAATAAACTGATAGTCGAAACCAAAGTACGGAGTATGGTGAAGCATTTCTTTCAACTCCCTTGCATTGGGCATCAAAAGGTACTCATTTCTAAATAGAAACGTTTCCAATTTCAAGTGGAACATCATGTAAACAAGGAATTCAAGAATATTTTTCACTTTATTCAAAGACATTTGATCTTGACCTCTTAATATAAAAGTACACCCGAGTGTGCTCTTGCATCCAGTGAAGAACATAAACGTCTTCCTGACGTTTTGATGAACGAAAGATTTGACTTCAAAGAGTTCACACAGTCCTAAACGGGGCTTGGTTGCCAATTTTTCCATTGATCCCACTACATCGGCCTCCAACATTCGTGAAAGCCGTTCAATAATTTGTGGTTTGACACTATAGGCGACAGAGATCCCAGCAATATCCAATAATTCCAAAGCGTAGCCAGAAATCGTGGACCCGGAAATAACCACGTCAGGTTTTGGCCGGAGCAGGACAATTCGTTTTACTAATTTGTCAAGATATTCCTTTTCTTGAGCCATCACTTGGTCAAGACTGACGAAAGCTTGGGTTCCCTTTTCATAATTCAATGGAAACATTATTAGAACCACGTTGGGGTTGGTGATTTGCGACCTCATGGATTTCAATGCCACATTCTTGGTGAACACTATCCCATTAATACATTCGCTTTCTGCTGGGGTGGCCCCAAGAATCTTTTTAACCTTTACGTACCGGGTGATATCCAAACTGTCACCATTCTTTGGGTCGGGGTCAATTAATTCTATACTGTTTAATAGTCGATGAATGGTATAATACCAGCTCTTCTTATTTCTGACATCGAACAGTACCAACGTCTGTTTCAAGAACCTCTTAATGTGATGAATGCTAATATCGTTTAACTCTTTGTGCATGTACTCTTTCTCACAAATGATGGAATCGTTGTCAACAGCAAGTGGTTCGGTATTGATGGCCGAAGAATACACTTCGGCGTCACCATCCTTTTTCGCGGCTGTCAATAACTGGCCCATCCTTGAAGGGATATTATTATTATTATTATTATCGTCAATGTTCCGCTTTGTACTTTTACTCCGCTTCCTGCTCTTCATTCGTATGAGCGATGCCTGGGTCTTGTCATACCCTGCTCCAACCTGGTTTATACTGTAGCTTGATCTTGATGGCCGTAGATTGGACTCCCCACCTCTCATGGAGTCGGAATAGCTCGAAAGGTTGCCAATGGAATCCGAATGCAACGCAGTATACAACGTCATGGATGATTCATCTTCGGACGACGACAGGTATTTGTCAGATAAATCCACCATTATCGATGGGTCCCTTTCTGATTTGTCTTGTAAAGAGCTGACATCACCATCAACGATAATATTGGATGAAATATCAGTCCCGTTTGCCATGGAAGCCTCATTTCTCTTCTGATCGTCATTATCATTATTAGTATTGTTATTATCGTCGATATCATCATATTCATCACTCGAGTCATCGTAGTCGTAACTCAAACACGAATGGCATAATCGGATTTGACCATTGTAAGTGAAACGTTCTCCCGAGATCAACGTAGTGCAATCATTACAAAAGATCTGCCCACATAATCGACAATGGTGTCTTCTTCTGAACGTGGTGAACGGTTTGCCACAACTGAAGCATTCCTTGACACTGTTATCTTTCATCCAATAGTCCTTGGACAACAAGAGATTTCCCCTATTGAAAGGCTTGTTCTGGAATAGTTGGTACATGAAATGCTGTATATAATGAATTGAATATTTCCTAGGAGAGAAAAATAATACCCATTAGTCATTTGGAACAGTGTTTGTGGCAGAATAACAACAACATTAAAGAGTTGGACCTCATCGCCGAGAAATCTTTCAAAACAAAAAAACGTCAGGAAAATAAATTACTAAACGCAGCGCTTAAAACAAAAGCACTAAACATAATAAACCTACGCTATTTTCTTTTTGTAGACCATGGTAATAATTTATATTATAAATTTTATAATTATATCAATATCGTTTCATTATTGGAAAAGTTACTCAAAGATATATAAATTATCATAATGCTACAGACAACGGTGAATCTTGGAAAATTGAAGAGTCAGACCTTTTGCTAACCCAATTTAAATCAAATCGAAGAACATTATTATTTTTCTCACTACCTAGCGCATCAATCTCATCAGTTTCCCATTTACCCTTATTTGCCAACTCCGTACCATTTATCCATGCTTTCCTACTGCCGTGTTTAATGAGATCAAATTGCTCCATTGAGCAAA